TGCCTCTAATAAATTGCTTACCGCTATGTCTCCCAAAATACGGTATCATAGCCTCATCAAAGCTGGGATTCTCTTCAACTGGGGCATAATCAAAAAACTTTTTATTTAGGCTGTTGAAAGAGGACGCAATTTAGAGTACTTTTTATCAAGGGAAGTATTATCATTGCAATGAAGATTACTCATTATGAATTGAAATCTATCTCTGGAAATAGCGGCTGATATAAGTTTATTCTGGGTATCGTTGCAATTTTTCCAATACATATGTCGCCTTGGAACAGTTGTATATCCACTGACAAGTAACACCCTTATGAACCAATACATCTCGTCTACAGTAACGTTACCGGGGCGGGTTTTTTGTTGTGCATAACTATTGGTAAAATTGACAATTTCTCCTACCAAGTTTTCATCAAAAAACAACTTGAAAATATTCCAGGGGAACGTAGAATCTAAATCTTCATTGAGAGTATAGTCAAACGTTTTTATGTGTTTAGGTCGTCTCCTCATCACTGTCTCCGTCGTCATCACCTTCCATGTCAAATTCGATTTCCGCCGGGGCCCTTAGTTGCACTCCGGGTAAATTATTTGGATCTACATCGTCTTCAGCCCCAGAATCTTCATCGGTATCGCAGTTTTCGTTGGCATTTTCGGGTGGAAAAATTGTAATTCCTGTAGGAATGTCCGGCGTAGAGTCATTCTCCAATTCTTCTAAGAGTTGTGCCATGGTTAGTGGCTTTTTCCAATGCCTGCAATGCCTACAGTCCTTTTAAAAGGACGAAAAAATAAACGAGGTTTAACATATCTTACCTTGAGTCACTCATTGCAAATTCACTAACAACACAGTGTTTTTTAACCGTCACTATCGATCCAAAACTTAACAAAACCTTAACGATGGCGATTGATCTTGTTTAAGATGTCAACTAAATATAACGTGACACTGGCGACATCTTCAAACCGTCAGCTGAATCAGAAAAATATAGGTTTCTTTTTAAAGTTCTTTTAAAAGGACGCACAGTGGGGCCAAATCCCGAAATCCTGGCCAAAACCTCAATAAATGAATTTTCTAAATGGGTACTTTTGAGCAGTCAGTCAGGTAGAGGACTAATGGATGCATCTATTGTGGAAGAGTAACCGTTTTTGATCGTATACCTTCGTCGCTCCGTTAATTTGAAGTTAGCCTTCGCGGAGAGTACAAGCATCGCGCGCTGAAGGAACGAAAACTAGGGTGACTTCTAAAATCAATATTTTTCAAGTGAAGTGTTCAATTTTAATTCTGAGACATGGATACGATTTCTGGAGGTATGTAGAAAATATTTTTACATTGATTGAGCTCAAATGTAATGTGTAAATTATTGAAATGTAGTATAAACTCTTGCATTAATAAAATTAAAGAATTTTTAAAACTTACATTTTCAACTAATCGAAAAGTTATCGGTTCCAACTGGTTCCGCGAAATCCAAAGTGTCGGTTTTTAGTTTACTTTATCTGAAAGAAGATTCAAAATCAATTATAAAAATTCTTGAAGAAAAACTGTATGAACAGAGTAAACGCTTAGTTCAGGTACCTAAGGACTCAAGAGCATCGTTTACAATGCTGTTCAATAAAATGCGGACAAAGTGGCAAGCAGCTCGTAGGACTGAGGCACCCTTTTTGAAGAACAATGAAGAATGGCTCAGCGCGCCGTACCTGCACCTGCCGCTGTCCAGACAACACCAGGTGAAAAAGGTGGCCGCCCGTCCAAGGAGTTTAAAACTTCCAGTGATCGGTCAAAACGAAGGAAAAACGAAGGTATTCGTGGAAGCTTCACTTCGGACGAGTTACCATACGCTACTCAAATGAGCCTTCGATTTACAGGACAATTGGACGCTTCAGCAGTTTTGAAAGAGATCACATCGACGAGTCCATTAAGAGCTTCTAAGTACCGAAGAGCTTACGGAGTAGCAAATGAAATTCCATTGTTCGAAGAGGCAGCACTTTCCGTTTTAGTCGAATATAAATTCTCAAAGAGTCAATACCAAGGACTAAGAGCAGTTAGCAAAGGAAACAACTCCAAATTATTTCCTCCTTACAAAGCAGTGATAAAAGCGAAAAAACTGTGTTATCCAGCCCGTACTGCTATCACCATTACAGAGATTAGTGCAGAAGTCGAAGTACAGGCATTACTGGACCATACAATTGACCGTATTTTACTCGTCCAAAATGAAGTCATTGGAAGTTTAACACAACAGCATGGTAGTAAGTTAAATTTAATTTGCAAATGGGGTTGCGATGGGCACCGTGAATATAAGCAGACGTTTGCTGATAGTAACAAATCAGATGCGCATGTATTCTTCACATCAGTTGTGCCATTACAACTCGTGACTATCGACGAAGAATCAAAGTAGCAAATCACTGTTTGGAAGAACCCTAGGCCTTCGTCTCCACGATTTTGTAGACCACTTAGACTACAGTTTCTGCGCGAAGACTCAGAGTCAACACTCAATGAAGTTCGAGTCATTGAAGAACAAATAAAGAATCTTCGTCCATTAGAAACTGTAATAGATGGGAAGCTCGTCTCCATCGTCTACAATTTGGCATTTACCACAATAACAACAGCAATAAAAACAAGAATAATAATAACAAAATTCAGAATAATTGTAATATTTAATAAATGTTCTTACTATAAATTGGATATTTGCTTACCTTCGCGAATAGCAATAATAAGTTCTTGTTAGGTTTCTTTAGGTACTTTTAAGGGTCTATTTCGCGGTATTTTCATCGGCTATTTTGCTTATAACAATTTCGACTTCGGAAACGTAATCAGCGAACTTAAAAACTCAATTATACTCATTTTTGACAAGATCTGGCAACTTTTTCACTTACATGACCGCCATATTGGATCTGCCATTTCGTCAATAATAAATTGAACTTCGGATTCGTAATCAGTGACCTTGAAAACTCTAATATACCAATTTTCGACAAGATCTGGAACCTTTTTCACTTGTATGGCCGCCATATTAGATCGGCCATTTTGTTAATAATAATTTAGACTTTGGATTCGTAATCAGCGATCTCAAAAACCCACATACACCAATTGTTGTTAAGGTCTGGCACCTTTTTCATTTCTGTCTCCGCCATATTGGATCGGCCATTTTGTTTATAACAATTTAGACTTCGGATTCGTAATCAGTGGCCTTCGAAACCGCTGTATACCAATTTTCATTTCGATCAAAGTTTATTTGAGGTTTTGGCCAGGATTTTGGGATTTGGCCCCACTGTGGGACGGTAGGCGTAAATGGGTTAATTGCCACACCTCATATATTTGAAAACAATCTAACTTCATCTCTACCAAATGTTACCATTTCGTTAAGAATCCTGCTTATTTTACCTGTATCTGTAGCTTCTGGTGAGAGATCCTTCTCAAAATTACCCAGACAGCACACCAAATCATTTGGATATCTACTGAACATCCCAATATCCACTGAATGTCCAGTCCATGGTAGATATATATTTTATATCCATGAGATATAATTTATAGACATGCAAATGTCCATAAACAATAGTAATACAGCAAATTATTAAAAAATTACGCCATTGTGCTCGCCATTGTGGCTAATAGTACCGTTCAGATATTTAAAATTAATTTTTTTAAGGTGTATTCAATATCCCATGAACATCCACTAAATATATCAAAGTCTAGACGCGAACGCAAACCGTCGTGGATATCCACTAGATGTTATTTGATTCTGCTTACTAAGTATAGATGGCGATACCACTATCGCATCTACTTATGCTCGGCCCGCCGCGCCGTAATAGAGTTCGATCGAAATTTTTGTCCTACAGACTCCATTAGAGGCTGGAGTCGAGAATTTACATTTATTGCTGAAGAATCCTAATAAGGATGACTTTCTCCTTAGTGGGCAAAATCAAAGCCAGAGTATTTGTTATCTCTGCTATTTTCTTTCGACGTTATTCAATAATCATTGGTTATTTATGAACCTACGATACCCATAAAATATTTTGTTGAATATCCGAATATCTTCTATATCCCTGGATATAGACGGACATTTGGTTGGATATCCATATTGGATATATCGAATATCCACAAAATATATTAAGTGGATATCTCTGGAATTTCTTGTATTTTCTGGAAGATACCCATTAGATATTTTGCTGAATATCCATTAGGATATCTTCTATATTCTGGATATAGACGGACATTTGGATATCCATATTAGATCCACGGAATATTTCTGATATCCTGTAGATATATTGTATATCCACAAAAGATATTCTGTGTATATCTCTGGGATTTGGTGTGTTGTCTGGGTAAAAATAATTAAAAATTATTTGAGGTCTACCATGGCATAAGAAAGATTATCGGGTTTGGCAATCTTAGCTATAGAGCAAGAGATCCTCAATAAAATTGATTTTGACAATATTATAAAAGAATTTGCAGCAGCCAAATCCAGAAAAAAACCTATTTAATTTTTGGATAATTGAATGTTTTATTTGTTTACTGTTTTTTTGCTATTTTTCGTTCGTAAGAATAAAATATTGGTTATTGTTTCATTATAAAATTAAAATAAAATGTTACGAAACCACATTTTATTTTAATTCGCTCAAATGTTACTACAGCAAATCAGGAAATTTAAAAAACATATGTAACAGCTTAAAGTTGTGATTCTTCAAAATATTATTTATGTAAGTACTACATATATTCAAAGGGCTCCAAAATATTTCTGGCACGCGGGCGGCGATAACCCCTGATAACGGTGAAGTACAAGGGTATTTTGGACTCATTCAAGTACGTCCTACTTCCCTTTAAACTATGTCCGTTCAAATCTGGGACATCATTCATACACGATTTTATTTATTATGAAATGAATTAGCGTTTTTAAATTATTTTCCTATTTCACGGTAAAGTACCCGGTTAATACCTACTAGAATTCGATTCATTGGGTATGCCAGAAGAGTACCAGACTTGATTATCCCCTCTCCGGTACTAAAAACGGAGTTCTCTAGTGCACGTTGAGACGGCAAGTTCAAGAACGAGACCGCAATTTTACGGTTTGAATTTTAGTCCTCAACCTTACTTGCTTGCTTGAACAAACCGGTATTAATATAGCAAAATTTAAATATAAAAATGAGGTTAGAAAAAAGTGAATGAAAAATTTTGTTTTTTTTTATTATCGACATAAACTAACCACCCTAGTGACTTAAAAATAACAAACAATGGTAGGAAAAAATACGCTGATTATATATGTAAGTAAAATTTATAATTCTAATAATTTAATAGTACTAAATTTTAATTTTTATTAAAAATATGTCAGTCTTTAATTAATTAGGCCAGAGGAAATGGATTTTTTTTGTATTTGATCTCTGCGAAGCCCACATTAGCGTTAAAGAACAGTTATAAAAAGGTCAATGATCAGTTTATTGACTGTGTTTATATCTTCTTCTAGATGATATACCTTCGTATTCGTCACAGATGGTTAATGCAATATACTGGATTTTATAATGAATTCCAAAGTGACAATAATGAAAGAAATGTTTTCATAGAAATTACGTGATTCTCATATTATAATTTTCGATTAGTCTTATTGTATTATATTACAAAAAATAAATTAAATTAAAAGAAGCGACGCGTATGAACACAAATGATTATAATATTATGTTTCATTATTTTGCAGAATACACTAATTTATCTTTGAAAAATTAACTGTTTCCAATATTTTATACTAGACAGTTATTTCTCATTTTTTTTTAGTTTGTGGTTTTAATATAGATATTACATAAACTATTTAGTATTTCATAGATTTCATCTGATATTAAAAATGTATCAATTTAGAACTGACGTTTATTTAATTTTCTGTTTGATACTTAATAATTTGATACAGTGGCGGCTCGTGATAATTTAAAATGGGTGTTCACGTTTTCCAATAATTTTATCATATGTAAGTTCTGATCAAAACTTTGTACAAGAGACAATATCGCTGTTTTAATTTTATTATTTGAGTTTATATTAAGTGTAGTTATTATTATCAACATCATACTGTTTTCAAGCACTACAACTATTAATAAATGAATATTTAGTGTGATATTTGTTTTGTTTTTAATACGTTGAAATCCATTTATAAACATTATTAGTTAGTAAACTGACTTTTCTTCATAATTTGAGATTATTTTTAAATATGTATCAGGTTATGTAGAAAGCTTGACATTGATTTTTGTGTAAAAAAATTTATATGAAACTTTACCTACCATTTTTTAGTTTTTACTGTAAATTTAATCATTTTCACAATTTGTTACAAATGTCAAATAAAAAATATATTTTTAAAATACCTTTTATTGGCAAATAAAATAAGAACTAAAATGTTTTAAATGTTTATTTTATAAGATCAGTCCATCACAATACATAATATTACACAGACACAAACTATAATAAAGATATATAATGCCTGGGTATTTTAAATGATACTCTTCGCAATTTAACAGACCCCTTAACCCCCATTTTTAAGCAGATTGTTTTCAGAATTAATAGGCTTCATCTCCTTATAGACCATGATTTTTACTAAAAATTTCATGTTGATATCGCTTTTCATTTTTGATTTTTGTTTAATTTCAACCCCCCTTAAATCCCCCATATTTAATCAGTAAATTTTTTTTTATAATGAAAGGGCTTCTTCTCCTTTTAGAGATTGATGTTTGCTAAAAATTTCAAGTTTTTCAGTTAGGATTTTTCTTATATTTTAACCCCTCTTCACTCCCCAATATATTCATATTTTTTTCAGTATCAATAGGCTTTATCTTCTTATAAAGCTTCATTTTTACTAAAAATTTTATATTGATATTGCTTTTCGTTTTTAATTTAGGATTTTTTAAATTTCAACCCATCTTAACCCATTTTTAATCAAATTTGTTAAAAATCAATAGGCTTTCTCCCCTTATAGAGCTTGATTTTTGCTTCAAATTTTCAGGTTCATATCTTTCTCGTTTTTGACGTGACATCGGACAGGCAGACAAATTAAACCTATAATACTCTTCACATAATACTGTATGAAGAGTAGAAAAAAATTTGTAAGGTAAAATAAACAACAGCAACACGTGCAAGAAAGTATCTCTCGGCGTCTCACTTGCCTCAGATTTTGGTCAAAAACCAGGTTCATCCAAAATAAAAGTAACATAAACATTGGCATGGGGGCCTTTGGATAAAACAAAAAGCTCGGAAACTAATTTTTATTCAAACTATTTAACACAATGCGAAGCTAAATCCCAACGGCCATCTTCCAAAAATCCAAAAATCAAATCGGAAGGGCCGAAAAAAACAAGTTATTTTTTTTAAATAGTGACAGTTCGGTCATAGAACTGACAAATTTCTAACGAAAAATGTTGTCAAAAAGAACTAGTGTTCAGCCAGTTTCTCGTGTCTCATATTTATGGTCAAATATAATTAAAGAAAAATAATTATTATGCAAAATAAAAGAAATGGAATGATAAAATTTTAAAATATAACTCTTACTCTATTCCTATGGTTATTTACAAAATTATGCTGTGCCTGTATACAGATCAAACAAACGTAGCTATTTGTGAATTGTATTAGACTGGCAACACTGGTTTGGCAACCTTGTTTGTGAGCGGCGCGCCAATTAATGTGTTCTTTGACAATTTGAAGGATCTGTTGGCGTGTTGTCTTCTCTTTTTAGCTGTATGCATTCGGCATATTGTCTCACTCGTGTTAGGCTCACTCATCATAATGCGCCACAGACACAGTATACTTAGGTATACTGTGACACAGCCAGAGGACAATGATGTACAAAAAAATATAGAATAACACATATGAAAATAAAAATATTAAAATTAAATTTATATTTTTATATTATTTATGTAATTTTAAAATACTGTGTTTTTATGAAATTTAACTGGGTGTTCACTGCACAAATGAACCAATGGAGAAACCACCCCTGTCTTCCTTACTTATGTAAGAATAAATAATCCGTCAAAAAAAAATGTGAAGGTTACTTGTGAATGATTTGACGATGTTTTTTGACATTAAGTTATAGCGCTTATTTTAAAAATTCATTATTTAAATAGAAAAGTTACAAGAGATTGTCAATTGTAAGAAATTGTTCAAATCTTTTTGTCAAACAAGAAAACTTTCTAAGCCAGTGGTCGCCAACCTGTCGATCGCGAGCTACCGGTAGCTTGCGGGGGCAATTCTGGTAGCTCTCACAACGATTTTAATTTAAAAAATACAAACTGTAAAAATCAGAGAAGCTTCCGAAAATTCCACAAAAAAATCTGTCATAATATTAAACATAAACAGCGGCAACGTTGCGGTGAGCGATCTGCCGCTGACGCCATCAAGTTAGAATCGGCTAGAACCGACCAGCCGGACCAGCGCGTTAATGTTCGAGAACGATCAGAATTGCATTGAACGGGATAAATACGCACGGCGCGGCAACATTGCGCTTAGTTTAAAACTGAACGCGTAACCAACGTCCAGCGGTTGGGTTAGTAGAGAACAACAAAAAATAATATTATGGCAAGCAGTTGTAAGAAGGTAAACACATAACACTTTCATTCGGAATGGGAAGAACAATACTTTTTTACAAAAGTTAAAGATAAAAATGTGTGTTTGTTATGTAATACTTCGGTCTCCGTTGCTAAAAAAGGAAATATTGAGAGACATCATAAAACTGTACATTCTAATTTTGAAAAATCATTTCCGCTACATTCTGCCGCCAGAAAGGAGAAACTGAAACAGTTTAACAATCAGTTAATTGGACAACAATCAATATTTTTAAGAACAGTCGACAAAAATAAGGCTGCAACTGAAGCATCGTACCGTGTGTCCCAGATAATTGCACAAAAAAAGAAACCTTATGAAGACGGAAAAATGATAAAACAGGCGTTTTTAGAAGCTGCTGATTCGTTGTTTGCCAACTTTAAAAATAAAGACGAGATAGTTTCAGCTATAAAATCTATGCAACTTTCTGCTAATACAGTAATGAGACGTGTAGAAGTAATGAACAATGATATTTTTTTACAGTTAAGAACTGACTTAGATAACTGTGTTTATTTTTCACTTCAACTGGATGAATCAACAGATGTCGTTGACACTGCCCAGATGGCCGTGTTCGTCAGGATGGTTTTTAGTGATTTTACGATTAAAGAAGATCTTTTGAAATTTATTCCACTGAAAGGACACACTACTGGACAGGAGTTGTTTTCTCATTTAAAAAATATTATTTCTTCCGAGAAAATTCCAATATCGAAAATGGTAGGCTTGACAACCGATGGCGCTCCAGCTATGGTGGGTTGTGCTAAGGGTCTGGTGGCGTTATGTCGTAAAGATAAAACTTTTCCGCAATTTCTCTGTTACCACTGCATTATCTATCAGCAAGCACTATGTGGAAATTTCCTGAAACTAAACAACGTTATGAAACTGGTGGTAAAAATTGTGAACAAGATTAGAGCTCAAGCGTTACAAAGAAGATTATTCAATACCTTGGCCGTGAAGAAGTTGACTGTCAATACGGGGATCTACTCCTTCACTCTGAAGTCCGATGGTTAAGTAGAGGACGGGTGCTGAAACGTTTTAATGATGTCCTATCTGGCATAGTTCAATTTTTCAAACAACGCGATGAACCGACTCCTGAACTAGATGATTCAATCTGGCTTAGAGATTTCGGTTTTCGCGTGGACATTACAGAGAAATTAAACGAACTTAATTTGCAGCTTCAGGGGAGAGACAAAGAACTAGGACATGATTTCTGATATAAGAGCATTTATCAAAAAGCTGGAGTTTTGGAAACAAAACCTAATTAACAGCGATGCCAAGCATTTTCCTATTCTTTCAGAAAAAATATCTCAAAATCCATTAGAACCCCATGACAGCAAATATCATGTAAAAATAGTTTCTACCCTGAAGAATAACTTCAAAAATCGTTTTAAGGATTTCAACGAAATGGCTTTAGTAGCGCAGTTTGTTGTTTCACCCTGTATGAAAATTGATATCCAACAGTTTGCAACTTGTGCCATGCAGAACTTTGGCGAAGACATCGCTGCAACAGAAATGGAAGTAATTGAGTTTCAAAATGATTTAGCCTTAAATTCCTTAGTCTCAAGTACCAAATGTATATGGCCTATTGTAAGTAAAGACAAATATTCAGTTATATGCCTTGTTGCCTTGAAAGTAAAAGCATTATTCAGTTCAACCTATTTGTGTGAATCTTCTTTTTCCAATATGAAGTTTATTAAGA